GCCATCTTGGCCGTCTTGGAGGCCATCTTGGGCGTCTTGGAGGCCTCTTGGGCCGTCTTGAGGCCCTCTTGGGGCCTTCTTGGGGGCCTCTTGGGCCGTCATGGGGCCATCTTGGAGGCCTCTTGGGTGCTGTTGGGGCGATGTTGGGGACCTCTTGGGCCGTCTTGGGCCGTCGGAGAGCTGAAAAGAAGAACATGCCAAAATCCTTGAAAAACCTAAGGAAAATCAATGATTTTAACCTATTCGGGCCTTCCTGGAGGGCGTCTTGGAGGGCTCTTGGGCCGTCTTGGAGGCCTTTTGTCGGCCTTTGGGCCGTCTTAGACCATCTTGAGGCCATCTTGGGCCGTCTTGGGTGCATCTTGGGCCGTCTTGGAGGCATCTTGGAGGCCATCTTGGGCCATCTTGGCCGTCTTGGAGGCCATCTTGGGCCAAGTTGGGGCAACAAAGGCATTGACATATGGATTTTCGGAAACTTGCGGGTGGCCGGCGGGACGGGCCGAAGCCCATTGGGGAGTTCTTTTAGAAAAAGAACCAAAACCAAAACCTGAAACATCCAGCACGCCGTGCACCCCTGTGGCAAGACCACAGGGGGCGGCGGATCTTTTAATGGCCTTCGGCCCATCCCGCCACCGTGTCTGGGTTGTCGGCTATAATAAAGCCTCTGAGATGTTCGTGGGGATGTCGTTGGAGGGCGCTCGGACCGGGGGGTTTTTGAAGGCAGCTTTGAAGCCCATTGGGCGCTGTTTTTGGGCCCCTTGGGGCGTTTTGGGGGCCTCATTGGGGTCTCTTGGGTGCTCTGGGGGTCTCTCGGGACCTCGAGGGGGTATCTTGGGGCGGAAGACAGGCATTATGGGCTCGGGCTTCACTCCAGGAGCCTCTCCTGGCGCTGTCTTTGGGCTTTCTTGGGCTGTCTCTCTTGGGGCGTCTTGGGGCGTTGTTCGGGGGTCCCTGAGACCGTCTTTGGAACTTGTTGTAGCGTCTTGGACTTCGTGAAGTCCGAGGAGTCGGACATGCTAGAAATGTCGGATTCCCGAAAGAAATTGAATGGTTTTTGCCTCTTGGTGCCTTCTTGGGGGGGCTCTTGGGGTCTCTTAGGACGTCTTGGGCGCTGTTGCGACCGACTGGAGGCTATCTTGGGCGTCTGGGCTGGATCGATAGGGCCTAAGAGGTCCTGGGATGCACATGTTGACGTGTCCGAGGCCCCCCCAAGAAAGCGGAGCAAAGCGGAGCACAGGGCCAGCCGGGCCATCCCCCTCTTTCCCCAGCAGAGCCCCTCCACCCCCCAGCGGAGCTGAAGCTCAGGCTCTAGACTGTAGCTGACTATATGCTATGGAAGAAACGAATGTTGGAGGGTTTGTGCAAGGGGGTTGTGCGAAGGTTGTGCAAGCTTGTGCAAGGGGTCGTGCTGGGTTGTGCATTTTTTCCTATCCCTTTCCTGTTAATATGTATTTTCTATACCATATAGGCTTTTTGAACCTCACACAGGTCGATCCGATGCAAATTTAGAATCGACCCGATTCGTGATTCGAGACCGACTGATCCTGTCCAGGGTGTGTGTGGTAACCATGCGCGTGTTGATACTATGGCGGGGGTCCATCAAATCTCCCAGATTTGATGGCCCCTCTTCTTCTTTGCTCTGCTCCCGCCCCACTGTCGCGCACATGCCTCGGGCCATGATGCTCTTCCTGACCTCCCTCTTTGGCGCTTGGTGCTGCACTGACATCCTCGCGTCGTGAAGAAGTCGTGACGGGCGGTTTTGCAGGTTTTTGGCCTCTTGGGTCCTTTGCTGGGCTCAGGGGCCGCCAAATATTTACTCGGGATGATCAGCTGGTCCCCAAGGAGGGTCCAAGCCTCTCGGGAGCCACGTCGTGAAGCAAAACATGAGTCGGATGCTTGGGTAGGGCGTTGAACTGTTCTTCGGCCCTGGCGCGTCTGTGTTATGCTTGAGTCGTGCCGCCAAACACGGCCCAGTGCGCTTTGAGTACGATCGCTAAACGGGGCCGCTCGGCCTTGCTCAGCCAGGTCTCGTCTGGCTTCACTCCAGGCCGATTCCGAGTCTCAGCCGATCTCTGGCAGCACCCCATGGATCCCGACGGTCCCTCCGAGGTCCTCCCAGCAGGCTAGAGGCGGAGGAGGAAGGCCTCAGGCGGAGCCCCGGCCTCCCGAAGTGGGGTCCGCGTAGCTTCGGCCGGAGGACCGCGCGCCGCGTCGCCGATGCATCGGCGATGCGGCTCGATAGGGAGCCAGGCTCTCTCCACGCCGACGCCGAGTGCATCGCCGACGTCGCCGGCGCACCGCCATCCTCCGACTCGGACGCCAGCCCCTGGGATCCGAGGTCGCGAAAAACAGCAGCAGAGTGAACAATCACGGCTGGAGCCCGATGCCCCATCGGTCTACGGCGTTTTTCGGGCTGGATCGATCCGTGATGGCTCTGAGGCCGGAAATCGGGCGAAAATGTCCAGTGTGAACACAGTACAACTCTAAGATTTGAAGGATTTTTGAGGCCCCCAAAGACCCGAGCGCCTAGATTGCCCGAACAGAGGCGCGCGCCCGACCAACCAGACGCAGGCTCCCCGAAACAGACCCCCATCGCCCAGCCATCAAGACATATGCGTCATGATCACATTGGAAAGCACCCTTCTCCAATGTGATCGTTTTCTTATTCGTTGTTTTGCCGATCGGCGCGGGCCCTGCCCCCCCCCCCCCCCATCGAGTAGATCTTGGCTGTGTTTGGTGCCTGTTTCGAGCAGGTGGAGTCTCCCCCGTAGGACGCACGGCTCCAACCAGTCGCACTGAGCAGAGGTCCAGAGCCAGACCCCTCCCCTCCCCCCACGGTCCGCCCAATGTCGACATGCCGAATAAAAAAAACGCTCACAATCACATTGGAAACCAGGGCTGGACCTAAGCGCTGTTTTGCTGGACTTCGGCAGTGTTTTGTTTTTCGTTGGGCAGGGAGGTACAGGAGAACAGGTAAAGCAAAACGAAGACATAACAAAAACCAGCGTTCAGGTCCAGCCCTGTTAGAGCACCCTTCTCCAACCTGCTCGCTCCCAGAAGAGGACCCCGGAGGCCCCGCCAGGCTCTCGCGAGGCCTCCGAGGGGGGCCACCCGAGTCCCCGACGGGCCGCCGCGCTGCGGCCTGCTGGGGGGCGGGGGCGCCCGCCCGCAGCCGCCCAGAACGCACCGAGCGCCGCGGGGCGGCGCCTTGCCACCGCGACCTGCCCCGGGTCGCCCAGGCGAGGCCCAAAGCAGATTTCGGGGGTGGACAGAGCTCCCACCCCGACATGTCGATCCGTGCATTGTCCGTGTTCGGTCCTCCAGGGGGCGCCGCGGCCGTCGGTTTCCAGGCTTGCGCCCGCCAGGTTTGGGCCCGAGGTCGTTTTCGCTGAGCCACGTTTTACTAGAGGGGGTTCTGTCCATCCCCGAGGGCGGCTCCTTGCCACCGCGACCTGCCCCAGGCCGCCCAGACGGGGCCCAAATTGGATGGGTTCGGTAGCGAATCATGGAAGCCTGGTAAACCCTCTCAACCTTTTGTGTTTAGCGTCGGTTGGCGTCGATTAGAATTTGGAAGTCGATGAGATAGCGCCAATTTAGCGTCGATTAGCGTCGATTAGCGTCGATGAGCGTCGAATTCGCGTTGATCAGCGTCGATTTATCGTCGACTAGCGTCGATCCGCAAGAACCAACAAGATGGCATGGAAGGCTCCCATGGGTTGCCACCGAAGATGAGGTTTGGAGCCGCCTGGGGGTCTGAGGTGGCCCAGCCCTTTCCTGCCCACGGGAAGGGCGGGCAGGTTCGAGGCTCTGGGTTCGGGCAGGGTGTTTGTCTGTTTCGACTTCCGAGGGCCGCACTCGGGCCCCAGGACAGTGAGAAGGCTCTGGGGTGAACAACATGCACCAGATCGACCCCGTGAAGGGTCCGGGCACCGATTTTGACCGGATTTGGCCTCGTCCCCCTCTTCCAACCGATTAGCCGGGGTCTCAAAACCAGTTCAGACACCCCGGCCACCTTCCAGATCGGGGTCGGATGATCGCCCCGCGTCGCCGACGCATCGGCGACTCGACTCGACGTTGTGGTCTGCGCGACATCGTCGTAGAACGTTTGTCTGGCGGAGTCTGTCGCGTTTTTGTTCGTGTTCCGAGGACCTTGTTTCTGTTCTCAGTACATTTCTGGGTCCTAAGCATCTGTCGGGGCAGGCCTGGCGGAATGCCGGGACGGTGTTCTCCGTCGCGACGCCGCAGGTGCAGCGCCGATTCCGCGACCCTCCGACCCCCGTGCGCTCGGAACTTGCAGCGACGAGGCCTCCGGCCACGCCGGCTCGGGTGTCGGAGCCACTTTGTGGCTGGCCCCGGGTTCTCCGCGTGGCCTTGGCTGAGCTGGGTCTGCAGAAGGGTACGCCATATAACCAAGCTGGCCTTGGCTGTAAGCAATAACACGTGGCTTAGCGTGGAGAAGGATAAACGATACAACCAACGATATCACGACAAACGCAGGAAGAGAAGCGATGTCACCGAACCAGGACGGACGGAGGTCCGTGAAGACGGATACTGCCATGAATGAGATTGCTTTGAGGTCGGCACGGGTCTCTTTGATTTCGAGTGGTCCCCCTGGCGGTGTCTCCGCCGCCCCCTCTGGCGCGCTCCGCGCGCCATGGAGAGGGGTCCAGCGCAGATCCAAGAGATCCGCTCGGACCTCTTAGAGTCGATGTGTATGAGTTTGTTGAACTACAGGATTACCTCGACGCCACCAGCGACCACTTCGATCCGATCGATCCGATTTGATGCCGATTCTGGCCGGCCCGATCGGATTCCATTCCGAAATTCCGACGATCCGATGCGGCTCGATGGTTGCGTGTCGGTATTGTGCACCCTGGCAGGGCCGATGCGATTCGATTTCGATTCCGTGGTGATACAGCCCGATCCGACGCAGATTCCGATTCGATCCGATTTCTAGGTCCGATGCTGATTGATTCTGGACGCCGGAAGAAGAGGAGGGTGAGGAGCCGATGTACAAGGCAGACCAGCAGAAGACTGCGCCGGCTCCCGAAGAGGAGAAGAAGGCGTCGCGCGCGGGGGGAAGGGGGAGCGTGGATGGGGGAAGTGTCGAGGATGGAGGGTCGAGGTGGCGGAGGGCCAAGCGAGACTGCGGCGGCTTTCCCTGCTGCTTTCCCATGCGAATTCGACGCGCTCTGTCGACAGGTCAGGCGGCCCTGGCCCCCTGTTCTGCCTCGATCTGTGGATCTGGCGCCACGCGCCAGATCCACGGATTCGTAATCCATGCCAGCGTGTGCCCGATTTGCGTGCGTCATGTTTCCATCCATCACCTCCACGGATTCCTCCTCCCCCCTCTCCGTCTCTGCCTCGGTCGGCAATACGTAGCACCCTGCAAGTGCGGATAAGAGTGAGGGGTCTTGCGCGATGTGGGTCACGGATGGGTCGTGGGTGAGTCGCGGGTGGGTCGCGGGAAGGACGACGACGACAACAACAACCATTTTACGATAGTTTGTTCTTATCTGCTCGCGTGCCATTCAACATGCATCTCTTAAACCTTTGATGCCTTCCCTCTTCGTCTTTGACCGTGCCCCCTTTTGGGTGTACATCTTGCTTCCCTGCCACGTGAAATTGGCGCAGATCCTACAACCAGAGGTGTCCCTGTCCAGGGCCGCCCGGGGCCAGACCCTTGTGTCAACCGGGCCGAAGATTACGCGCCAGTCCAGGTATCAAGAAAACCGGGGCCGAATAATCCAGGCTGGTCTGGTCCCCGGGCCGAGGTGTCATGTTCATGTCGGAATTTCCGCCGTTCTTCGTCCTCCTCCTCTTCCTCCTCCTCCTCCCTCCTCCTCCCTCCTCCTCCCCCTCCTCCTCCTCCCTCCTCCTCCTCCCTCCTCCTCCCCCTCCTCCTCCTCCTCCTCCTCCTCCTCCTCTCCTCCTCCTCCTCCTCCTCCTCCTTCTCCTCCTCCTCCTCGTCCTCCTTCTCCTCCTCCCCCCCCTCCTCCGCCCTGCTCCTCCTCTCCTCCTCCTCCTCCTCCCCTCCTCCTCCTCCTCCTCCTCCCTCCTCCTCCTCCCTCTCCTCCTCCTCTTCCTCTCCTCCTTCTCCTCCTCCTCCTCCTCTTCCCCTCCCTCTCCTCCTCCCTCCTCCCCTCCTCCTCCTCCTCTCTCCCTCCCTCCCTCCTCCCTCCCTCCCTCCCTCCCTCCTCCCTCCCTCGCTCCTCCCTCCTCCCCTCCTCCTCCTCCTCCTCCTCCTCCTCCTCCTCCTCCTCCTCCTCCTCCTCCTCCTGCTCCTCCTCTTCCTCCTCCTCCTCCTCCTCCTCCTCCTCCTCCTCCTAGGGGTCAAGGGGGCTCCGACATCGTGCCTTCCCACGGCAGGCTGCCCGCCTCGTGGCGGCTGGGTGCCTGCGGCGTCGTGCTGCGGCGTGCTGGCTGGGAGGTGTCCGCTGCGCGATCAGCTGCGGTTAAGTCGGGCCTGTCCCTCTACAGAAGGAATATTACAAACATAGTAAAACATTGTCAGGGGACTTTTTTTGGGGGGGAGGGGGCAATTTTTGAGCGTTTTGGATATTTTTCGACTATTGTCAATTTTTCGTCCAAAATCCGCCTGTAGGGGGACATGCCCGATTTAAAGCTACGGCTACCTGGCTCGGGTATAGCCAGGACCCCAGTTAAGGGGACCCGGTAAGCAGTAGGGCCCTGGAGCCCCTGAATTGGCCAGAGTCACTAAGCCAGGTCCGTCGCAGCTGGTGTTTTTTCGGGCGACGGCAGTTCTGGTCAGTAGAACGGGCGGGGGAGGGGCGTCCCCCAGTACACATCACTAAACCAGGTCCCATTACACCCAGTTCTGCCAACACCCGACTGGCGATCGGGGGCAACGATAGTGGGGGATAGGCATAGGTCGGCGACTACAAAGGGTGTGGTTACGCCGGGGTGTGATCTGCGATCGGCACTGCTGGGGCCAGTGCAGCACGACACTGTCCTCGCTTGGGCCTCCTCGGGGCGCGGTGGAGAGCACTGTCGAGGTCCCCGCCCGCCCCCCACGGTGCCCCCAAGGGCGCCGGTTGCAAACCACACCCCTTGCAAACCTCACCTCTCGGAGTCGCCGAGTAGGAGGGGGTGCATCGACCCCCAATGGCCCACTGATCGCCGACAGGGGCCCGATAGCCCCAACCTGCCCAGGAAGGTGCGGATTCACTATCGGAGGCCAATCGCCGATCTATCGGCGATATATCGCCGATTCCAGGTCGATGCATCCTCCCCTACGCAAGTCCCCCCCTCTCGTTGCCCCTCAGGCGATCTTCTTCGCTAGCCTGGCATCGACGCCAACGTCGGAAGCGCAGTCAGGGGCGGCTCGTTCTGAGTTTGGAAGCCAGGCGTGAGCTGCTCGCAAGTCGTCACGGGTCCTATCTTCACACAGAAGGTCGAGGACGTCAGAAGGATGACGTGGCTATTCATCCTCGTTGGGCTTGCGCAGTTATTAGACAATGTGGATATACTCGGAGCTACGCGTCCAACGAGAGGTGCTACGTGTGTGGAAGAGACAAGTCTGGGAAGCCTGACCTTGAGGACTGCCACAACGTGATCGGCAGCGCCGAGCTTCATCCGCATCGAGACGTACTCCCAGCCCGCAGCCTAGGGGGCGCGATCGAGATGCTGAAGATGCCGCTGGTCCCGCAGATGAGCCGCCTTCGGCTGCAGATGCAGTTACCAGAGCCCACAAACCATTGGGGGGTCCTACGCCGACTGAGCATTGACGACGAAAGTTCAGTCGTCGCCGCGGCAAAGCAAGACTTGGCAGACGCAGAAGAAGCTGAACGTGCCACTCGCACTTCCGATGGCTTACTACCGAGAGCACTGGACCGACAGGCGCAGAAGAACAAAGAGGTGGTGGCATTGTGAGAGCCAATTGGCCACCTCAGCAAAGAGTTCGACCAGAAGCATAATGAACTGCAGCAGGCCGAGAAGGACTTGGATCGCATCAACGGTCAGGTGGTGGTTGCGCGTTTCGCAATCATGGCGGCCAGCAGTGGTCCGATGTTGGCGGAGGAAAAGAGTGTGGATGATGCTCTGGGGGCGCTTGGGGAGGATCCTACAAGCAGCTCCAACAGTCACCACTGGGAACGAGTCCACATCCATGTCTTCTCTCGCCAAGCAGCTCCAGGAGCTTCATAACATTGTCGCGAAACAGCGTGACGCAGAGCGAACCATTCCTGTACCATCCACACCAACAACATGGGACGCAACCGTTCCGAGCGAGGACCTCGACATGCTTCCAGCTCTTGGCACAGAATTTGGTGCTTTGGCGACTGGAGAGTGAGTGTCGGTCAAATTTCCATATTTTCAGGCTGTTCGGACGGGGGCCATCACCCTGTGGGTGTGCAGTGGGTCTGTGACTTTGCATACATACCCTCGATGATGCCACGGCAAGCTGTGGATGTTCTCATCATATCCATATCTGAGCATCGCGCCCAAGAGTGTGATGGTGACGGTGTCTCAGCATGCTCGCAGCATGCCCCACGCGCTGCGCTGTTCGCGATAATACTATTCAATGGTGATGCTGGTGTGGGCAGTGGATCTGCCAGCAGTTTTGGACTCCACCGGTTTCACTCCTCAGCATCTGGAGGTGAGAATATTTATCAATCGAGACGGCGTCGCGCTGGGAAGCGACGCGCAACTTATTGATGGCTACCTTCATACAGCTCAGGGTGGCCGCAGCTGTGTGATTTTGTGGGCCATAACGGGCGCATAAGCAACGTGGCGGGGGAGGATGTACATTCGGCTGGGGATGTGCGTTTGCAGGCGGATGTGTCTTGCTATCGCACAGACCATGGAGCATGCCAGGTCGATGTGGGCGTGATTGTGAGGACTGGCGTGCGGGGAGGGCGCGCTGGTTAGCTCAGTGCATCTCGGGCAAGGGCCAATCTTAGGGGAGACAGCGCGACGCGATGTGCCGGGATTGGGGGATGTGTCAGCTGCTGCCCCTGACCTGTTGCAATGGCTGGGGTCCGAAAGATGCGGCCAGACTTACTGGGGTGCCCTGGCTGTCATTGCGACTTTGGGCTGATCTGGTATCTTCGTGCGATGGGACGTGCCGAGGCCCTACCACTGGTAATTGATTGACTACTGGGTGGTGGGTCATTTCTTCGGCGCTGTGACGAACAAGCTTGGGCGTGTCCGTGGATGCCCAGCCGGGCAATCTCATGCTGTCCCAGCTGCCCCTGGCCCGAATTCACGTGCGCAGCATGTTCGGCGGCTGATTGGGCCCAATCTCATACCAGCAATGCCTGTAGCCTTCCAGGGTGGTAGCGTCGAGGGCGAAGATGATGAACCCACCGGTGCTGAGCGTGGGGGTCCAGGTGTCCCTTGTCTTGGCATCGTGCAGTCTGATGCGTCGGCTGCCCTCGGTGACGCGCGGCCTCGTGCGCGTCGGTTTGGATGGCGTTGTTTCGGCTCTGTGCGAAGGGGTCGAGTCGGAGTTGCAGCGCCTTTTTCGTCTTGAGCGGCCACTTGATACCTTTGCTGGCCGAGCTCAGGGACCCATGTATCAGTGTGCAACCACATGTGGGGCCATGGCGCAGCGGCGTCCTGCGGGCGCGCGACATTCGCGGACGCTGCGCATGCCTGAACAGCGCGTGCATGATCTACGTCTTTTGCGCATCAAAGGTAATGGCGCGGCACGCGCGCGCACGCGGGCGCGCGCGGTGGATTTTATGGGAGGTCAGCAGCGATATGGGCGTCTCCGACAATCTGTTCCACGCCGCATCGTGCGCGATATTATCCATGTGCCCGCGTGCGTCATGGCGCAGCTTGGTATCCGCCATGCAGGTATTTGCTGTTTCTTGGGGCCCAGCTCCGCGAGCTTGCCGACTGCGAGGGGCGGGGGCTAGCGACCGCGAGGGTTATGTCTTTAGAAATTGGCCAGGTCCCCGCCTCAATCGGTCCGGGGGCCCTCGGAGACCTCCAGTTATCCATGAGTTTTCGTTAACTCATGGCGGGCCTCCTGGGGCATGATCTGGGGCGGCCTAGGCGAGGCTCCGAGCGCTGCCCCGCTGCCCATGGGGGCCTCTGT